GAAAATCAATCAAAGTATCTTAATGGGTCTCCAATCCACTGGCAGCCTATAAAGCAAATACAGACCTGACTTTTCACATGAAGAAATTGGTCTTTGTGCCATTACCTTATGACAGTTATCAAAGTTTAAAATTCAAAACAACAAACCAAGTCTCATAAATATATAATACATGTTTTTAATATATAACTCATCCTTAAGGGAACCGTCAGGAAGATAAACCTAGTTCAAAGGAGTACAGGAGATTATCAAGACTACATACAGTTCATTAAGGTGAAGGAAACCAGAATAGTCACCCCCAAAATATGCCTCTCTGGAATAAAAATTATGTTGGGCTCAAGGAAGTTAAGAAGCAGCAATGTCAGGAAAAGCTCTCTCTAACTTCCCCCTTTACTGCCTTAAGACAAGATATAATTCTGTACTGGAGACCATTCTAGACCCTTATCAGCCCAGAGAGGCACCAGAGGAATCTGCAAACAAGCCCTACTCTGTTATTTCTCTCATATATTTACCTTTCCAGAGGTTACCGCCTTTAGAAGCCTGAAACTGCTTTCTTTTCTCCTCTCATTTCTCTACAAATCTATTGTTCTTTGTTGAAGATGCTATATAAGTTAGAGTTCTAAGCCACCTCTTTGAATTACTCTTTCCTGTGTGTCTCCTATATATATATGAAATACACATGTTGTTGAACTTCTGTAGGTTTTTCTTTTGTCAATTTGTGTTTTGTTACAGGGGTCCCAGACCAGAAACCAAGTTGGATGGAGGAAAAATTTGCCTCTCCTACAATAGAAAGAAGATTGAAATGAAATTAAAAGAGCAAATTTAGATAAAAAATGTTCCAGTCCTGTGACACAATTATAACTTTTAGGTTGTCTTTTCTACTGGATAGAGAGAATTTTCATCTATAATGGACAAAAATCATTGAAATTATCAACATCCTACAAGTTAATGTCTAAATTCACAGACATTTCATAGATACTGGACCCTAATAAATAGTCAAACAGAAGCACATTCCCGTAGAATAATCAAAATATACTCAGGCAAGGCTTTTAGACTATGCTCTCATATGACAACGAAAGGAAGTGCAGTCCATCCCTTTGCCTTAATTCAATATTCGGATATTTCTTAACAGGTTTCAGAGCTGTCCTACAGTGACCAAAGTCCTTCTCTTGTCCTCAGTGAGCCCATGCCTGATGAAGACTCTGCTTTTCTGTCCACACTTTCCACCTTCCTGTATTGTATGTACCAATGATGATTTGCCATGACTTTGTGGGACAAGTATTCACTTTCCCAGTCCTAAAGAAGAAGAGGAAAGGACCAGCACCTCTCCTAGACCCACTTAACCGCCAATCAAGTCAAAGTCACATGACACCTCCTGTTTATCTTTTTTCAAAAAGATAAAATCATGATTCAGCAAATCTAAAGTGAACACGTGCCTAAGAGTGTATCGAACTCATCAGTGAATGAAGCAACAGGTAAAACGATATGATAGGTTCAAAGAACATTTAAGAAATTAGGGTATTTGTAGAAAATTTAACAAAGAAATATTAAGATAGGATTGTTAAATTAGGTTAAAACAAAATTAATTAATGTCCAAGAGGCCATACATCTTTGGAGTTATATATGTTCCACTGGACAGAAATTATTTGCATCTCTACCAAATAAAACCTTGCAAGTTAATGATTAACTTCACTAAGTTTCGTACCTTTAATCAATAGTAAACAGTGAGATGATCAAAGTACATTTTCATAAAATACTTGTGGGGCCTTTAACCTTTTATGATATTGGAAATCATGGCCCCTCCTTTTTTGCTTACTTCCAAGTCTCAGAAAAATTTTCTCAACTGTAAATCCTTACTAGAAAAAAATAAATATGTAGAACCTGCAAGATAAATTTCTGTGAAACTTCATGGTATAAATCCTTGACATTCTTATTTTACTCGTTGATCAAGTACTAGACACTTTAACTTTTTATTCTTTCTAGATTCCAAAGTAATTGACCTGATTTTATTATCTCAGTCTGTCTTGGTCTTTACCTAAACGCTTTTGTACTTCCACTAAATGATTTCTTTTCTTTTTCTTCTTTTTGTTTTTTGTTTTTAAACCACCAGAGTGTACATTCTATTGCACAGAAGCTTAAGCTCTTTTGGACACTAATTGTTTTAGCAATCCATTTTGGATGCTCTTTCTCAAAAAAACACACTTTTGGAAAAAAAATATTAGCATAGATTTTCAGATAATCTCCATCTCCTAATATCCTGCCCTTGAAGAATTCTAAGGTCAACAACTTTTCTAGTAGCCATCTATTCTTGCCTTGATGAGTAATGGTTAATTTGACAAGGCTCCCATAGTTCCCTAACATGATTTCATTTTACTTTTATTTTTTTCCAATGCTTCATTCTAGATTGAGGCAAGTCTCTGTAGCCGAGCTTCTTAGAAACACACTGAATGTCCACTGAATTCCAAAGCTCATGGTAGCAAGGCTTGGTAGAGATCAAGAAACAGAGAGGGGAAAGGAAGAATCTTGGAGCAGCACTGCCAATGGGAAATAACACAAGTCACATATGTAATTTTAAATTTTCCAGTAACCACATTTTAAAAATTGAAAAGATGCAATTATTTTAATAATATATTTTATTTAACCCAAAATATTTTCATTTCAACATGTAATCAAGATAAAGACATTATTAATGCAATATTTTACACTCCTTTTTTCAGGCTAAATTTTCCAAACTGAGTATATATTTTATTCAAACTGATACTAAATTCTATTGGAAATAAGTTGATTTGGACTCAAATTCCATAACTTTACTGTTGAAAAATTAAGTTCACATGCCCAAGTTGTTCAAACATACCTAAAAAGGTTTTTTTTTTTGGTGAGGAAGATTCTCCCTGAGCTAATATCTGTTGGCAATCTTCCTCATCTTTTGCTTGAGGAGTACTGGCCCTGAGGTAACATCTATGCCAATCTTCCTCTATTTTGCCTCCACAGCATGGCTGATGAGTAGAGTAGGTCTGCATCCAGGATCCGAACCTGCAAACCTGGGACTCTAGAGCGTGCATAACTTTAACCACTCGGCCACTGGGCTGGCCCTGAGTATCAGCTTTTAATAGAGGTAATAGGCCACATGTGTATGGTGACAGATGGTAATTAGACTTTGGGTGGTGAACATGATGAAGTCTACACAAATAAATAAATTAAATAAACTTCAGTACCTCAGCAGCATCAGCCACATTCCAAACGCTCAAAAATGGTTACTGACTACTTTATCAGACAATTCAATCCCAGGGGGAGCTGTCTTGGGGGTGTGGGGATGGTGATGGAGACTGCTGGCTAAATTGAGGGAATATATAAAGTTAAATGTAGTCATGTAAATTTAGCGCTTTTAAAATCAAAGATTTGCCCATATAGAGATATGGAGATTATGAAAGCAACAGAACATAGGACTGGATTGCAAAATACCAGATGGAGAGATTTCAGAATATTGGGGAGTGTTGGGGAAGAGGGAGAATCCCCCTCTGCCCTTTCCCTTAAGGTTCTTATGGATGGCCAAATAGTTAAAAGACAGGTTAGCAGGAGAAAATAATACCAAGTTTAATAACATGTATACATGGGAGAAACCAGGGAAACTGAGTTTCTCAACACATGGCTGAGGTTTTCATCTTAAATAACATCTCCAGCTAAAGACAAAGGAGGATGTTGGGGGGAATCAGTTACGGGAGATTACCAGAAAAACACAGTAAATAAGAGTAAGGTTATTAGGCAGATTTAAGGCCTCTCCTTCCATGCTGGAAAGAGTTTTCAGAGATAACGTCATCCCTACCTCTTCCCAGTACAGAGAAGGAGATACCTTTATAAATGGAGATTTCCCTTATAAATATAAATGTTTGTCTGACAACCCTTTTACAGGGCCACCTAGAGAATGTGGCTTGGGAGAGACAAAATTTTTGATAAGCTGGGCTTGTTGGTGCCTTTCTTATTATAACATCTATTTTACATTATATTACAGCCATCATATGGTAGTGGCTCCTTCCTGAAACAGGTCTTCCATGTTAAATTCTTTAGGCAGTTTGAGGGAGGTCGAATGTCCATCAGAGAAGATAATCAAGGTAAAGAGACATATTTCAGGGTGGCCAATTTTGATCTCCCACAGGAGGAAGTCAATCTGTGGGGCATGAAGATAGAATTTCCTCAGGTAATTACAGTAGTCCTCACTGATTGACTGTGTGGAACATTTGACCAAAAATTTACCTTTTAATTTTCAAAACACCATCTTTGTGATATCAGGATTAACATTTCCATTTTACAGATAGAGAAACTAAAGTGAAAATGAGGGAACACGTCACAAAACACGTCCTGGACCTCCGAAGGGGAAGTGTAGAGAGTGCCGAGGGTCCAAAACACCGAGTATGTCTCCCAATAACAAACATCCCAGCCCATAAGACTCGTGTTCCTGTTGCCCAACGGATTTCAGCTCTTTCCTTGCTTTCTTAGACTATTTTACCAATATCGCTAACTGTTTTACCTCCATTTAAAATGTACAAAAATGCTTCTTGGGAAAGAAAGAAGTCATGGACTCGTTTACATGTCAAGTCTGCATTTAAAATGCGAGGAAATGTATAAATCTTGGTTGATGACGTGCCCATGGTGTGTAAGGATTCTAATAATTCAAACTTGAAAGATATTAGCTTGATAGGTACAATCATTTCAGTCACTTGATAAACCAGAGAATTCTTTAAATGCCCTTCAACAGGGCATGTTGAAGAGAAGTCAGGGAACTAGCAGGGACTCACAAAGCTGTGTTTATCTCCTCCCGGCTACGTCCCACAGACTCATAGGAATTTATGGGCGGGGATAAATTCAATTTCATACTAGCCCCTCCCGCCTGCCCAACCATCCTCACTGGTAGTTTTCAAACAGGTCCGCTATAGGGTTATAAATAAAAATTTCGGCTGTTTTTAACGCCAACAGTCTTTAGTTGGTAGATTGTGATTTAGTGGTAGCTATGTCTGGTCGGGGTAAAGGCGGTAAGGGTCTCGGTAAGGGTGGTGCTAAGCGCCACCGCAAGATTTTGCCCGACAACATCCAGGGCATCACCAAGCCCGCCATCAGGCGACTGGCCCGGCATGGGGGTGTCAAGCGCATCTCCGGCCTTATCTACGAGGAGACCCGTGGGGTGCTCAAGGTCTTTCTGGAGAACGTGATCCGCGACGCTGTCACCTACACCGAGCACGCCAAGTGCAAGACAGTCCCCGCCATGGACGTGGTCTATGCGCTCAAGGGCCAGGGCCGCACCTTGTACGGCTTCGGAGGCTGAATCTGAATTCACAAACTCGAATTTTGCAGTCATAGTCAAGGCCCTTCTCAGGGCCACCTATCCACTCACTTCAAAAAACTTGTGACATTGAGTTCGTGTTACGTTGTACGTTTATTTAGAAATGGGCATGAACTGAATTTTTGTGGTTCTGGGTTCGACTGCTTTATCATAGCTTAAACTTAACTCTGAATGTGTTAAATGTTAGTGTGGCGTTACGGGCTTGGGGCTCCCTGATGGCTTTTCCAATATAGGTAGAGTCCCTGAGGACCAAATGTCTCACTTCCAGTAGCATTTATTCATTCTTAGGATTTCTTTATCCCATCGAGTTACACAATCCAATTAACTTTGTAGTCAATTTGTTAACACAGATTTTTTTAAATCTAGTTACCATTTATCTGGAAGTTTAAATGTTAAAAAATATGTAGGTAATGCTTTATTAGCCTACTCAAATTTTGAGAAAAATTGGTAAAATTTAAATACTCAGCCACTAGCTGGCAACTGGAAGGGAAAGGGAGCAATGACAGTCGCCCAGACTAGAAAGTGAAGACACCAGCCTCGGTGGCTCATGGGGGACTTCTCTCAAGCACCTATATTTGGATTATCTAAATTTATCACCAGTAAAATGTTTTTTAACCCACAAAGAATTTGGGATTTGTCTCATGTCACATCTTTTCCCTCATACAATAAAAGCAACAACTTTGGGGCTTGCCCCGTGGGGTAGCAGTTAAGTGCTCGCGCTCTGCTGCTGGCGGCCTGGGTTCGGATCCTGGGCGCGCACCCATGCACCGCTCGTCAGGCCATGCTGTGGCGGCGTCCCATATAAAATGGAGGTAGATAGGCAAAGATGTTAGCCCAGGGCCAATCTTCCTCACCACAAGAGGACAATTGGCATGGATGTTATCTCAGGGCTGATCTTCCTCACAAAAAAAAAAAAAAAAAGTAACAACTTTAATTCATCTAACAAACCCTTTAGCTTTTTTTTCCAGCTATAACTGCCAGAAAGGGAGCTACACAAACACATTACCCCTGTGCTGGGACTCAGCCACACCGAATGTCTTCTCATGTGCCAGTACTTGCAAAGGAAAAGGAAAAAAATGTCCCCAAAGTAATAACTGTCTTCTGTGTCTTGCCTTCAAAAAAAGTCACTGGCAGTGGCCTATTTAAATGCTCTTCAAGGTATTTGATGCCCTTCTTACCTCTTATCACAGATTCCTGCCAGCAGGCTAACTGACCAGAGTACTGTGGGGTCAGTGGGAAGGAGGGGAGCATTTATGTTATGTAACTTTCTTTTGGTTCTTACACTTTTGTTTTTCCTGATGGGTCCTGTGATGGCGTCTTAAGGTGGCCCCCAGGATTCCCCCTCTTGAGGTTCACCCTTTTGTGATCCAACCCCTTGAGTGTGGACATGACCTGTGACCTGCTTCTAACCCATTGTTAGTGCCATCAAGTCGATTCTGACTCCTAATGATCCTGTGTACAGCAGAGTAGAACGTTGCCTGGTCTTTTTGTGCCATCCTCTCACCTACCAGCACTTCAGCCAGTGCTTTGCTACTATTCAGAAGATTTTCATGGCCAGTTTTTTCGGAAGTGGATGCCAGATTCTTTTTCTTAGTCTTTGTCTGGAAGCTCTACTGAAACCTGTCCACCGTGGATGACCTTGCTGTTATTTGAAATACCGGTGGCATAGCTTTCATAGCAACACGCAGCCACCACAATATGAGAACTGACAGAGTTGTGGTGTGCTTCCCTGGTTGGGAAATGAACCTGAGCTTGGTGGTGAGAGTGCCAAATCTTAACCACTAGACCACCAGGGCTGGCTTTCTAACCCATAGAGTACAGCAAAGGTGACAAGATGTAAATAATTTTGTGTATATAATTGTTATGTAAGATTGTAATATCTGTCTTCCTTGACCCTTGCATGGTGGCTTTGATGGATCCAGTATCCACGTTGGTAGGCCCAAATGACAAGAAACTCAGAGGGCTCTTTATGAAGTGAGGGAGGCCTCCAACTAAAGCCAACAAGGGCTTTAAGCCAACAGCCAACAAGAAAATGAGACTCTCAGTCTTACAACCCCAAGGAAACAAATTTGGCCAACCACTAGTGAGTTTGAAAGCTGATTTTTCCCTTCTCAAGCATCCAAGAGACCCTCGATCCCAGCTAACATCTAGGTAGCATTCTTACAGAGGACCCAGCTAAATCATGCTCAGACCCACAGGACTGCCAGGTAATACGTGGATGTTATTTGAAGCTAGTATATTTGAGGTAATCAGTTATGCAGCAATAGAAAACTAATACACTTAGCTAACAACTTCGCATCTTCACTAATCCATGTTCCATCTACAATAACAGATATGATGAACTGAAATTGCAATCTTTATCTAATGGAAGACTTACATTAAAAAAACAACAACAACAAAAAACTATAGTGTGACCATTCTGTTTTACAACTACGTAACCCTCCACACATATACCCAGTTCTGAACTGACCCATACATTGGTCATGCTTTGCTAGCTTCCTAATAGCAAGTCTATAAGCCATCACGTGTCCTCAAAAGAAATTCATCTATGTCATTTTGTTTTGAACAGTACAAAAAGAATGGTCTACTTCCAAAACATTAACACATGAAACATGGATTTCCATCCATATCCCCTGTGCTTCCTACACTTCTAGATCTACTCTTATTCCTGTTTTTTGTTCATTTTTTTCTGTCTAAATAAATACAGAACCAAACACTGAAGGCAGAAAAAACAAAAATGACATATAAAAGAAAAATTAGGGCTTCAGAACCTGCTTCAGCACCATTTAGGATTGATTATATCAATAACAGCCTCAAGGCAAAATACGGTCAGTAATAAAGTTTCTTTTTAATGTATATTTGAAGAATTACCTTTGAAACAGTCTACAGTCTACAGTCAACTCTGGGGTCCAGTGACTTCCCCAGGACTAGCCCAGTCTCTATTGTGTAACTGACATTTTGAGCCTTGGTATCCTTTGTAATACAGATAATTCCTCATAGCATGAATTAATATTTGTCTAGCACATACAATATTCTTACGCTGTGAGCATTTTATTTAAAACAACCCAATAAGTACTTAAGCATTATACAACAAAGCTCCACGGATAACCACTATAAAATTACTCTAAAATGTTGTTTTTAAGTTTGTCCAATCGTTTAGATTTTAAGGAATAAAAACACAGAAATTGGGATACTAGAAGATTATACAGCTTTAACACTATTCCTACTGTATACAATTATTTCTCAAATTCCTTGTTGCACTAAAGATTTTAACGAAAGTTCAAAAGTTTCACACTATGTTTCTTACACTTAAAAGAAAAAAAGGCTGCCTGTGAAGAACAAAACATACTTTCAAAAACCTGCTAACAAATCTTGATATTACAACTCTCATCATGGAAAAGTGAGTGGCTCTGAAAAGAGCCTTTGGGGGAAGCGAGATATAGAGAAACTTTTACTTGGAGCTGGTGTACTTGGTGACGGCCTTGGTGCCCTCGGACACGGCGTGCTTGGCCAGCTCCCCGGGCAGCAGCAGGCGCACGGCCGTCTGGATCTCCCTGGACGTGATGGTCGAGCGCTTGTTGTAATGCGCCAGGCGCGACGCCTCGCCCGCGATGCGCTCGAAGATGTCGTTGACGAACGAGTTCATGATGCCCATGGCCTTGGACGAGATGCCGGTGTCGGGGTGGACCTGCTTCAGCACCTTATAGACATAAATAGAATAACTCTCTTTACGGCCGCGTTTGCGTTTCTTGCCATCTTTCTTCTGTACCTTAGTCACTGCTTTTTTAGAGCCCTTTTTGGGGGCTGGAGCGGATTTGGCAGGCTCTGGCATGGCAAAGAATTACCACACCACAAAAATCGGAAGACTAACGGGGGAAAACACAATAAAATCCCGAGTATTTATAGCACGTATATACAAATGAAGATTAACAAATCTAATCTTTGATTGGACCAAAACCGGCCAATAGAATAATAGTATGTAAATGAGGGATTCCAAAATTGCTTTTTTTATTGGATAAACAACCAAACCCTCTGGGAATCCAATAGGTTGATTTACAATACTATTACATTACTAGAAATTCACTAAAAAAAAAAAAAAAAATCTCGGCACAACATTTTTTTTTTAAACTTTGAGAATAAGTAGACACCTTCGCGTTTGGTTACGAAAACCAAGGAAGGAAATCCTGTTATCTAGCCGAGTCCACTCCTGACTGCAGCTCCGCTGGATTTGTCTTAAATTGTCCACGACACTTCGGGTCTCTTGGGTAAGAATCCCGAAATGCTAGGCCATTGCAGTATTGTAAGGAAATAGTCTCAGAAGACTCTCGATCGCCGCCATCTTTTTCCAGGTTCCGCATAACAAACGTTTTTTGTCGGCTCTTGCCATTAGACTGACCCGGGCTGACATTTTAAATACATCAAAACCAAACAGCAGAGTCAAATTACCAGTTTGAGACAAACCTGGTATTAAAAACCCAGGGATTCCAGCATATTGGAATTTTGCTGCGTGTACCCTGAATGAAATACAAAATTCTTTACGTCTAAACAGTATATCCTAGAAGATTATGCTACAGTGAACTAGATATTTACTATAAATATAATAAAATAGGACTAGAGATGCTTAGACAATGGACTTTTAAATAGGGAATAAGGACGGGGAATTTGACCAGGATGAAAAAGGTTTAACTGTCCTGAAAATGGCGGGTGTTTTTTAAAAGAGAAATTCTAAAGCACATTCAACTTTAAACACATTCTATTTTGTATATCCAAACAAGAGAAAAGTTCAAGAATATTAAATGACTACTGTAATGTGCTTATGGATCTTACTTGTGTGTGTGAAGCATTATCAGTGAAACAAATAACTTAGAAAATGACTTGTTAAAAACGGCTGGGAAGACGTCTGCTAATTGAAATTAACCAATCAGAAACTTGTACCGAGCAGATAAACCAATCCTAAAGCTCCCGGAGCACTTCCGGAATGTAGCAACCGATGACTAAAAGGAATTGCTCACAATCCAATCAGAGTGATTCTGTTCCTGTATAAATACAGGAGTAAATCACTTTCTCTAATCTGCTGGTTTTACGGCTAAGATATGGCGCGTACTAAGCAAACTGCTCGTAAATCAACCGGCGGGAAGGCGCCACGCAAACAGCTGGCCACCAAGGCGGCTCGTAAGAGCGCGCCGGCCACCGGCGGCGTGAAGAAGCCCCACCGCTACCGGCCCGGCACGGTGGCGCTGCGCGAGATCCGCCGCTACCAGAAGTCTACCGAGCTGCTTATCCGTAAGCTGCCCTTCCAGCGTCTGGTGCGCGAGATTGCGCAGGACTTCAAGACCGACCTGCGCTTCCAGAGCTCGGCCGTGATGGCGCTGCAGGAGGCATGCGAGGCCTACCTGGTGGGGCTCTTCGAGGACACCAACCTGTGCGCCATCCACGCCAAGCGCGTCACCATCATGCCCAAAGACATCCAGCTCGCTCGCCGTATCCGTGGAGAGAGGGCATAAGTTTCGTGATTTGAGTACCTACTTTTTAACTCCCAAAGGCTCTTTTCAGAGCCAACCACTTTTTCTCTGAAAGACGCCGTGATACTTTACAAGTAAGGATCACCGATAGGGCACGAAATCGTATCTGATACAGGCCTGATAGGTTCTCTGACGGTGTCCTTGACTGCCCTGAACTTGGCTGCTTTCTCGGCCCCTGCGTGTCCCACCATCGGTAGCTTCCGTAACTTATGTGACTACTTGGCGCCGTTCAAAGGAGTGCAAGTTATCTCTTAGGCTTAATTGAGCCTTCAGTTCCGTGGTTGTATTTCCGAGAGGCCACCTTGTTGAGCTTGAACCGAGACCAAGGGTCCAGAAAACCCTGCGCCACGGTGCCCTGCCTCACCAGAATTTTGAGGCCCAACTCATCTAGCAACCACTAGAACCTTGCTGACAGTGGGTAGGGATACACTCCTGCGCTCCTTACAAGGTGCCATGGCTTAGGTTATTAGCTGGGGCACCGAAAGGAAAGACTGTTGGCTTTGACAGCCCCTGTGGACATCTTGACAGCGGTCTTTACTCGGATCACCTCCACAAGGGCCAAATCCACCAAGAGAGTTTTCAGCTAACACCCTTCAAGAGATCTAATCTGGTTTTCCTAAATTCTCTTAGTCTCTAAATCCAATCCCATGAAAGTAGTTCATATTTGTTACTAAAATAAAGTCCTTGGAAGTTTGAGTGTTCTCTCGCAGGAAATATTCTGTCCTTGCTCTCTTATTCATACAAAAGAACAGTTTTATGCTATTTGTATTAAACAGATATTCCTTTCCCATGGAAGTAACAGATTCCTCACTATTTTTAAACTGGTAGCTGATGAGAGGGGCAATCAAAAATTCTGTTCTGAAACCATACGGGCTGTTATTTGAAAATGTAGAAAGTTGTTTACTAATTGGATTACTGTATGATGTTTGAAAGGATTTTATGTCTAAACGCTTCATGGAATTCCAGTTTCAAGATGGGCAAGATATCCTTAACTACAGAATTGAGAGGTTTCTGTTATTATTATTATTATTTTTAATAGGCTGTTTCTCCTCAATAATCACTAAGGAAAGAGGTTAGTCAAGGTCTAAATTTAACAGTGACAAAGCTGTAAATTAATACACAGGCCAAGTTAGCCATAGTAGAGTCCTGGAGGTTTTATAGAAGAAATCTTTATTCTTGGAAGTCTGTCAAACATTGAGACTTGGGTGCTGAGAACTGAGGAGTCGGAGTCGGATCTTGTTATATCACTAAATCCATCAGAACATCTAGAATGGTCCTTTCCCTAAAACAAACCCTAAGGAAACTATTCAGTCAAATTGGAATGTAAAATAAAAAATCATTGAGGGAACGGAAATTACCATTTAGTGCACTGCTGGTTACAGAAATAAGAGATTCTTAGGGTTCAAGTAATTTTTTCTTTTCTTTTCTTTTCTTTTTTTTGCTGAGAAAGATTTGCCCTGAGCTAAGATCCATGTCAATCTTCCTATATTTTTTAGTATGTGGGCCGCCAGCACAGCATGGCCACTAACAGAGTGGTATAGTTCCACTCCCGGGAACTGAACCCGGCCCCCGAAGCAGAGCACACCAAACTTAACCACTAGGCCAGCAGGGCTGACTAAGAGTTCATGTAATTTCAATATATAGTTTTCCTAAGTAAAAATAATCAACATTTATTGAGTGATTGCAAAGGGCCAGCAGTCATGTAATATTCTATGAAGGCTCCAAAATATAAGGTAAATTCAATAGTTATTTACTAAAATTACCTATTACACATTATTATTCTATTAGTACTTTACAGATAAAGAAACTGAAACTAAGAAAGTTTCAGATAATAAGTAGTAGAGCCAAAACTTTTCCCATTAGGTATTACTGTATTAAACAACAGCATCAATATAATCCTCATCAGTTACCCCTGAGGGCTTTATTCCTTGAGAAAGCTGTCATAGGAAGACTGACAGGCTTACCTTAATTCTTTGATATACGTTAAAGGAAATGGATGGGTTTTGAAAATTTACAGGATGCTATATGATTGTGAAGTTCTATTATATGATAATTATTACAGCCAACTGCACAGAAATATAACTGATGAACATTAATAAAAATATGACATTAAAGTGGACAATTTTTAGCCTTTCTGCCCACCATTCAAACAATAATCTTGATGGTTGACACACACATCCAAAGTAAGTTTTTTTAAAATTTAAAAGGCATACATTGAAACAGTAGTGCTTAATATCAGATGTTTTTTAAATGAATTTTCATTTTATTGGGGAAGGATGACAAATCTAACTCATGTCACATTTTATATATACCTTTTGGTACATTAAGTTGTATATCTATTTCAGGCTTATATAGTTGTCTACAAGTATATACAATTTTTTAAAAAACGAGTATATAATCTCTGAATGACCAGTAGTTTTATCTTATGGAAATGATAGAAAAATATCAAGACAATTAAGAAATTCCATTTTATCTTTTCTCCACCCCCTCTCTACCCCATCAGAGGTAAATATTGATATTTTACACCTGGAAACTTTTTTACTGCAGAAGTGTTATAAATATTTTTGGTTTCGTTTTTGCAGTAGCCCCAACACCTTGGATGACATACTTCAGAAAATAAGGGAGTTATTGCCTAAGTCAAGCCATGAGGAGATGGATCATAAAAGGGGCAGAGAGATTTATTACCTTTGACTTCCTACACAGAAAAACAGAAAATGAAATCGCTGAATCTGATTAACATCTAGGGATAATCCCACTCATTTGACAGGACTAAAAACACAGTCAGTTAAAAACACACACACAGAGTAGTTGGAAAACAAGACAAAGAAGGCTAATGCCCTAGGGTTTAGTTTAACTAAAAAAAAAATAGATGTATTATAAATTTTCCATTGATAATAATGGCACCCAATTATTAAATGCCATCAAAGCACATTGTTAGAGAAACTAGACTTTTAGATTAGGGAATTTTATTCACAGAGATGGAACTTGAGATGGAATTGGAAAGATTCTCCCAGGTAGAGAGGAGAGAAGAAGGAACTGTATGTGGACAAAGTTGTCAAAAAAAAAAGAACAAAAAAAGAAGGAATAGAACGGTAATCTGAGTTGCTATTAGTGCTAGTTAGTGTGAAGCATTGTTATGAAAAAAGGCCAGGAAGCCCTCATTTGAACATAAGGCAATGGGGAGCCAGTGACCTTTTTCATAGGACATATAGCAGAATGACCAGAATTTAGGAATTAGCGGCTGGAGAAACTAGAATTAGGATGCTGGTTTGGAAACAATGGAATCATCCCAGATATGAGAGGATAAGGAGAAAACGTGAGAAGGGAGAAAATAGTTACCGAGACTTCTTTAAACATCAACCTGATTTAGTGACTGAGTGACAGGAATAATCAAGGCCTCCACACAGTGACATGAACTTAATCTGCCTCCTTCAGTTAAAAGGAGCCAGGCAATTACTAAGTAGAAGGGAGAAAGTAGTAACTTCAGACTGGTCCTAAAAATTACTTTGACTCACACTTATGCCATATGCATAAGTACCCTCCTGCAGTTAAAAAAATATGAACATGCCCCTCCCACTTTCCATGCTAAGACATCTTTTTTAATTCTTATTTTTTTGACTGTGTGTTTTGGGGACAGCTACTCACACAGGCTCCTGTCTGTCTGATATTTGCCATCTTTAAATGTCAATCTGTTGAGTATTTCTAAACCTGGGTTTTTGCCACTATAATTGACAGACCATTTTTGTTCAGCAAAAGAGCATGAGAAACCCAAGCATGAGCATTTTAGGAGACCCTCCCAGGGAGACCATCCTGGGGATGTGGGTTAGTGATGAAATATAGGGACTGGGAGTGAACATCTTACTCCCTCATCTTCCTAATGCAGGACATTAAGATGTCTCTCGTCTTCTTTTCCTATCCCAAGATGTTCATGTTAATCTGATTTAACTGCAAAAGAATTGGGGGAGATGGAGGAAGATTTAAAGAAGTTCTGATTCCCTTGATAACTAGGGCTTGTCCAAGGGAAAGGAATATAAATATTAATTTACATAAACCGGAGTAAAACTCTAGAAGGTCCTTGATTGAATCATGTTTAACTGATTCTGATTCATTCCAAATGGCTTGTGAATTGGAGGGTTCACAAAGGGCCTAAAATAGAAATACATGAACTCCACTCCTTTTATTGATTATTGATGGGGAACATGTAAAGAAAACGACACTAGGAATAAGAAAAGTTGTGCTTGAGACCCAGCTCCACTATTTATTGATAAGGTGATTCTGGTCTTTTCCTCTTTCTAAGCCACAATTTTTTAAACTGTAAAACAAGCATTTTAACTATACCTACCTAATGCAAATACTTTATGGTGAGGTGGTTATAGAAGTGCTTTGTAAACTGTAAGGAACTACAGAGATCTTATATAGTTATTTTGACCACTCTTATTGAACATCGCATTCTTGCATAATTCTTATTCCTCATCACTCTTCATCAAAAGCCTAACCCTCTTATTTTGGATATTAAAGACCTCACAGATCTCTTCCTCCTTATCTTTCCCATTCGAAGCAATCTCTTATTTTCAAAAAGATTCTTTTGAGTAACTATTTCACATTCTCCCATTTATCCAGATCTCCTTCTCAACCAAGCCACTCTCATAAAAGGAAGTTTTTTAGCTCTTCCCAGAAGGAAGAAATTATGGGATGCAGCCGTGACGGGGAAAAAGTGAATACCTGCTTAGATGAGCAAGAAAGACACTGAGAGGCTACATACCTTTTTTTTCTTTAAGTTTAGACAGTAAAATGTAATAAACTATTAACCAATAAGTGGCCGAGTGCTGTAAAAAAAGAAAGTGAAGAGGCGTTTCAACCAGGAGGTATTTGTGTCCACTGGAGATCTGCTCCGGGGTTCATGACTTGTTTTGTACTGTGGACTCCACGGATAGTCTGGGGAAACCTATAGACACCTTCTCAAAATGATGTTTTTAAATACATAAAGCATACAGAATGAGAAAGCAGCAGTAAAACACATGGGCTAGACTGGTGGTGTAGCGGTTAAGTTTGCATGCTCTGCTTCAGTGGCCTGGGGTTCAGAGATTTGGATCCTGGGCACAGACCTACCACATCGAGCCATGCTGTGGCAGGCGTCCCACGTATAGAGTGGAGGAAGATGGCCACAGATGTTAGCTCAGGGCCAATCTTCCTCAGCGAAAAGAGGAGGATTGGCAACAGATGGTAGCTCAGGGCTAATTTTCTTCACCAAAAAAAAAAAAAAAATAGTTATCAAAGTGCATTTCTTTGAAGTATGTATATGTTTCATTAGTAACACTATTAACATAACAATGTTTCATTAGTGACATCAACAAGGAGCAGCACGTGGAATAACAAATGTCAGTTTCAACAACTCAGAATGAGTAGAAACTTTATTTCAAGGTCTCTGAAATAACTGCAAAGTCATAAGAAAACATCTGTGGTTGCCATTGTTGAAACATCACAGGTACTGCCAAAGTCCATTGTGATTAGTTGCCTACAGGCATAGTTGAAGGAAATGCTAAATTGCATTTAGAGTTTGTGAAAATAAAGACATAATTTTTCCCCGTCTAGGTTTATAGCCCCACAATGGTCTGCAGAACTCAGATTTTTGTCAAATTTGCCAGTAAAAGTAAGTGGACTTCCCTGAAATCCGAAAAAATAAAAAAATAAAGCAGAACCACACACACACACCCCCAAAACAAACATCAAAAACCTCAGCCCTGGGGATAAAGTGGAAATGGTAGAACATCAGGTCGACCTATCTTTCTAGAGCCCATTTATTTTCCCTTGGTTACCCCATCTCCAGGAGCTCTCTGACCAGCCATGCTGCCTTCCCAAACGTTCTTTTTTTTTTTTTTTTTTTTCCCCTCCTTCCCTATTCCTTGCCCATTCACGGAAGAGCTGTTAGACAGCCAATCATGACTCCCTGGGTCTCTCAACGATTTGTAGGGAAGGAATTTGGCAAAGAGGGTAATTTATAAACCGCCAGAGATTACTTTTACACTTTTTACTATCGTTTAGCATCAGAGTGGTAGCAATAATTATACAGATTTAGGCAGAATAACCATACTGTGAATAGTCCTCCAAAAGAGGACATCATTGATCTCAAGGAAAAAAATCCAAGCTTTTCCATTGTTTCACAGTTATGCACAAGTTTTAATATCTCAAACCCTGATTGGTGCGGTACGTATTTTCTCTCTCTGACGCACACGCAAATAGGTCCAGGGGTACGTTCTGATTGGCTAACCCTGAATAGCCTCTGCAAACCAATGGGAACGGACATTTTACGAAACATCCGGAGGCTATAACAATCCCTTCCCCAGACTGGCTTGTTAGAGAATTGTACTGTCTTTTTTAATATGTCCGGACGTGGCAAGCAGGGCGGCAAAGCTCGCGCCAAGGCCAAGACCCGCTCTTCGCGGGCCGGGCTGCAGTTCCCCGTGGGCCGAGTGCACCGCCTGCTCCGCAAGGGCAACTATGCCGAGCGGGTCGGGGCCGGCGCGCCGGTGTACCTGGCGGCGGTGCTGGAGTACCTGACGGCCGAGATCCTGGAGCTGGCGGGCAACGCGGCCCGCGACAACAAGAAGACGCGCATCATCCCGCGCCACCTGCAGCTGGCCATCCGCAACGACGAGGAGCTCAACAAGCTGCTGGGCCGCGTGACCATCGCGCAGGGCGGCGTCCTGCCCAACATCCAGGCCGTGCTGCTGCCCAAGAAGACCGAGAGCCATCACAAGGCCAAGGGCAAGTGAGGTTTAAGACCTGTGCAGCAGAAGCCCAAGGCTCTTTTCAGAGCCACCAAATTATCAGCAGGAGGACTGTAGCCAATGAATCATCATTCATTCATATACTTGCCAATCACATAACGGCGGTAACTTTAAGAAATACGCAAGTAATAGTTAATTTCAACTTGTTTTTCTGGTGGTTTCCCAAAATATATTCAGTTAAGCTCTTTTACCTGACATTAGTGGGTGGCTCTGAAAAGAGCCTTTGAGACTTTCAGATCAGGACTTGCGCTACACCTTTACTTCTTCTTTGGCGCCGCCTTCTTTGCTTTCGTAGCCTTGGGTTTGGCAGATTTAGGTTTGGCTGCCTTGGGCTTAGGTGCTTTGGCCTTGGCGGGACTCTTAGCCGCCTTCTTCGGTTTGGCTGCCTTCACCTTTTTCGGGCTCTTCGTTACTTTCTTGGCCCCCGCAGCCGCCGCCGGTTTCTTCGCCTTCTTCGGGGTCTTCTTGACGCTCTTCTTTGGGGTGGCCGCGCCCGTCGCCTTCTTGGGCTTCTTAGCCGCCCCAGCAGCCTTCTTGGGTTTGGCCGCGCCCGCCTTTTTCGCCTTGGGCTTGGCCTCGCCGGTAGCTGCTTTCTTGTTGAGCTTAAAAGAACCGGAAGCCCCAGTGCCCTTGGTCTGCACCAAAGTGCCCTTGCTTACCAGGCTCTTCAAACCCAACTTGATGCGGCTGTTGTTCTTCTCCACATCGTAGCCAGCGGCCGCCAGCGCCTTCTTCAGCGCAGCCAGAGACACACCGCTGCGCTCCTTGGAAGCAGCCACAGCCTTAGTGATGAGCTCGGACACGGGGGGGCCGGACGCTTTGCGTTTCCCAGCAGCTGCGCCTGTTTTCTTCGCTTTCTTCTTAACAGGTGCTTTCTCCGCAGGTGCGGGAGCAGTGGGAGCAACTGGAGCAGTCTCCGACATTTTTCTGTTTTGCCAAGACAGACAAAAAGTAAGCACAAACTGTCAGAATGGCGTAGCGCGGGCGCTGGTGGCTGGGGGTTTATATAGAGAGTCGCTGAATGATGATTGGTTCCTGCTCCGTGCGCCGCGCAGCCTAGAAGGGCTCCTCGGCTCTGCTGTGTGGCTGTGTTTCTTGCCCCTTAAAAAAGAAGAAAAATATACGAAATCTGGGCACGAAATAATTAGGGATTTGGGGGAAACGGATCCGAGAGTCTTCAGGCTTCATTCCTGCCTCATTTGCTATACCTAGTTTCAAAACTGGCACCCTGAAACTTTCCTGATTCCCCCAACTCTCTTTAAAACTTCGGTCAAATTGAGACAACTTTCAGATTTTCCTTAAAAATACTATTTCTCTCTCTTTCCTTTGCAAATCTTTCTTCCGGGAAATTGTTCTGCACATTCTTTTCTTTGTAACTTTATATAAATAAACTCCTTTTTATTCAGATAAACAAGGAAAATCGGATTTTTCGCGAGAGCAATAGCACAGCTCTCCCGCAAGTTCTTTGCACTAAGCACTGGGAATTGGCACTGGGGTAGAAAATTCTACGTACAAGATGGATAACTATTTTATAAAAGGTAGATTTTTTTAAAAAAGTATTTGAGTGACCAGTGTGTAAATTGGCTTTGAGCCCCGTGTTTTGGTGATTTAAACATTTTAGGAAGAATGGGGGGTGAGGTCGCTCCATTCGTATTCTAGATAAACAGTTCTAAATAGAGTCACCAATCCTCTTAAAAAATTAGTCTCCTAGATTTTTCAGACCTAGAATGAGCATTAGAGATCAACCACCCCATCAACACAGAAGCAAAGTGAATCGAGAAGCAATAGAATGGCAGTTCTACATCATTTTACCAGCTGTGAGCTGAAGAACACTGTGAGATCATATGTTTAGAATATATTCTATCTTTGTTAAAATTGTGAAGTACTTAATGACCAACACCATGTCCATAAGATTTTTATCCTCCAATATTTAACATAGAATTTTGTACATATTTCCCATGTTTCAAAATTGTGTTTAAAATACAAATTTGATTTGACTTCTTTTCAACATTGCAAGTAGGGACACAGGATTAGAAAGAAAAGATTCTCACTTAAATCACTTTCTGAATGTTCATAATTCTCCCTGGGCTTTTTTCCTAACAAAATATGAACTAGGCTGTCACAACCTAAATTAATTGGCTGAATATGTCCACCTAGGGAGCTGAACAAACATTTCGTAGCAAATGTGACTCATTTTACTACTCTCCCTCTCTTAGTTTGCAACACAATAGAGCTAATGGAATTAGGTAAATATTGCATAATTAAGCACAAAATTAATATTATCCACCAAATAATCACATACTGGAATTTAACACCACATGTATTAAAACAAATGAAGAAGAAAAGTATTCTGGAGTTGTTTTTCTTCTGGGAAATAACCCTATTTCCAAAAACCTAGTTATTCTGGCCTACTATCAATGGCAATTTGAGAATTTTCTCATATAAATACAAGATAGTATAATCAACTGTAAAGATGTCATCTCTCCACACTTTAATTCCGTAAAAATCACTTGTTTTGTTTTTAAATAGTCATTTATTGGCTGGCACTGACTGAAACCAAGTGTCTCGGACTTGAGACTATGTTATATACCAAATACAAATACTGTGTATAAAGAGGTAAGCTTCTAGGGTTGGATCTGCAGCATCTAATTCTCCCTAGGCAGGCATGTTATGGGTGTCTAGAGAAAGGGGCTGTTTGTCACCCTCAGTAGCATCATTGTCAATAGCAATGGTCACAAACACCATATATGTCCTTTTCCTTTTCAGCCTAAAGCCTAATATTATCTAGACCTAAACATACAATTAAAACTCATGCTTTTAAAAGTTTACTATTTTGGTCATCATTGTAGTCATAATATCAGTTGTTTAATAATTGTTGGAGTTTCCTGAGTTATATATACTCAATTTAAGATAGGTGAAAAGTTCTTTCTCCAGCAGATGTGACCCAATTCATTCTGTGCATCTCTTACTGGTTCCCATGGCTATTTAGGTTCCAAATAAGTAAGAACACAGTGGGGCTAAGGGCCATTTCCTTAATTGCATCTAGGTAATCTCTGCCCTTCCTGGAGGGCAAGAGTTGAGACTCGATTTCATCTGAAAAGTTCTTCTCCAGATGTAGAAGGATGGGGCTGTGCTGCACATAGCTACTGTTACTGCTTGAGACCCAGATACCTGTCCTCTCTGTAACTGTAATATGGACAATGTTCTTGAAAGCTGGATCACCCCATGGGACTGTAAACTGGAAAGTTTCACCTATGATTTTGATAGCCCACAAAAAAGTTGTGTTTATTAATTTTGAATTCTAAATCTGTATATATCCTAAAACAGTGGGTTTTCCACTAGACTGAGACTTGAACCCTTTATTTTAGAGATGTAAAAAATAACTGAGAAAAACTACAGTTAGATAAGTGATGGATATCTCACTTATGACTTCATGTTCTCTCAATTTTGGTGTTAACCCTCCTCTTACCATAGTAAATGACTGTGAGAGATATAGGTAGTGCTCACCGGGTCAGTCCACAGGGACTGTGCTTCAGTATTCCAAACTTCAGTGAATTTCAAAGGTTAAAGGAGAATAGTGATTATGTTGAATAAATACCAAAAAGGGCAAAGAAAAAATAAGAGCCGTATAGCAGATGGAGCATTGTGTTAGGGTCAAATGTATTCAGAAGGGCCATGAAAAATCACATCTATTTTAATTTCCTATCAGATAGTCTCACCTGAGGACACTTCCACTTAAAACTCTGCTCCTACACAACTATATCTTATTGATTTTATTTCCTAAAAAGGGCACTACTACCGTCCAACTTCCAATTTTCTTTTTGTATGTCCCTCTCTCCATCTGTAATATCTGGTACACCCAGAAGTTGGCTAACATCTATTATACTTCAAAAATACACCAATCCTTACTTCTTGCAGTAAGCCTCATTCTCAAATATCTGCCACACTCCCTTTCCCAATCTAGACTAGAAGTTCTTCAAAAGAAATTCACTATCACAGCTCAGCCCAATAGAATTCATTGCAATGATGGAAATGTTCTGTATCTGTACTGTTGAATAGATAGCCACTACCTACATGTGGTTATTGAGCACTTAAATGTGGCTAGAGCAACTGAAGAAATTAATTTTTTAAATTTTAATTAAATTTAAATGAGCACATGTGGCTAGTGGCTAATGTAGTCCAGCAGAGCTTTAAAACAACTCTTCTGAAACTTCAATGAGGATATCATGCACTTGGAGATTTTTTTTTTTTAAATGCAATATCAATTCAGTAGATTTGGGGCTGGTCCTGAAATTCTGCACGTGTAACAAGCTCCTCGGTGTTGCTAATGTTGCAGGAATATGGCTGCTCTACCCATAGCTACTAGGCCAAAAGTAGGAGTATTCTGGACTGGTGTCTGACCCCACACCCTTAATTTACTTTTCTCTTCCCTCAGCTAGACATTGAGTTCTTTAAAAGAACATGTGCGATTGTCTTTGTGAACCTGGTATTTGTACACCATTCTTGGCATATAATAGACCTAAATTGTTGAATGAATGAATTAATGATTCTTGTTTCATGTCTTTCTCAAAACGGAGAGCACGAGAGATCACTGTCTGAGTCTGCTCCCTGTACTTGAGCTAAATCTCAATAGTGTCTGACTCAAGGAAATGAATAGTCTTCTGACTACCTATACCCTAAGCACCGGCAGAGAGGAGATTTTTAAAAATGACATCTGTAGTACTTAGAAGGCCCTCAGTGTGAATATGTGCAGCGTGAGCAAATGTTGGCATTTGTCTATTAAACATATCAACCTATCATCTGTATGTAGAACATGACTTCAGTTTCTCTTTTTACTTGGCCAGTATTTCAGAGTTTGTTGGTGTTATTTTTGTTAATTCTGTTAATTCGCAAACTTCTATTCACCATGATGTGCCTTCTATTCTTTACTGGCATAGATCAGTGGTAGATGGCAAGGTCATAAGACTCCAGAATCAGGCCTCAGTTCTAACCCCAACAATACCACTTATGAAAACAAAATTAGGTCTCCAAGCCTGGGATTCTTCATCCTTACGATGCAAATAATGCTTTATAAATTTGGGAGCAAAAAGAAGAAATCCAATTAATATTGGCTGCCCTTCCTGGAGCTCCTTCTTTATTAGGAATGCTGAAAATGATTTAAATGTATATGTCCTGCCAAAAGGGAACGTTCCATGACCAACCAAATTTAATAATGTAAATATTGCAGGAGATGTAAGAGTTAATGCTTTTATATTTAGAAGAATATTTACATTCTACAATTAATTTTATTCTGGTATCTCTCCGTTTTGTAGACAAGTGTAGCATCACTGCCTCCTTTTTATAAATGATAAAAGTGGTTAGGAGACTTGCACAATATCTATTGTTTGAGACAACCCACAGGAACAGGACTAGAGAGCACAAAAACCAAAGACTCCGGACCTCTGCAAGGGAACAGGAACGAGTCAGATACTGAATTGCATTTCCCCGCCCCCTTCCCTTGCTAGGCAATAGTAGACGCCCAGTAAGTTAGGGAAGGGGCGGGGGGTAGAGGTCTCGTTCCCGCCCCCGCGGGTTCAGTTTCCTAAAAGGTCCGCAGCGTTGATATATAAAGTGCTGCAGCAAACAGGTTCTGGAGGGCGGTAAGCACTTGCTCGTGATCATGTCTGGTCGAGGTAAAGGTGGAAAGGGACTGGGCAAAGGAGGTGCTAAGCGTCACCGCAAGGTGTTGCGCGACAATATCCAGGGCATTACCAAGCCTGCTATCCGGCGCTTAGCTCGGCGTGGTGGTGTCAAACGTATCTCTGGGTTGATTTACGAGGAAACTCGCGGGGTGCTGAAGGTGTTCCTGGAGAACGTGATCCGGGACGCCGTCACTTACACCGAGCACGCCAAGCGCAAGACGGTCACCGCCATGGACGTGGTCTACGCGCTCAAGCGCCAGGGCCGCACCCTGTATGGCTTCGGCGGCTAAAGCCTCACCGCAGTTATCAGGTCGGTAGCTTCAGCTCGCTCATAAAAGGTCCTTCTCAGGGCCACCCACTTGGTCACACGAAGGGCTGTTAACTAGAGTGCAAAGGTTAACATTAAAGCTTTTTGTTAGTGTTTTGTTGCAATTCTAATTTAAGACTTGGGTTTTCTTCTCTTAAATCTGGTAGTTTGCTTCTTAAGGTATTATGTAGTTAGCAGTCATCTTCTAAAAATGGCGTCTATCAAATGTACTCTAAGAAAGCAAAGAGACTGAAAGTGTTATGCGGTTGGAAACTGCTGGGTGGGTTAGCCAGCTGGAGCATACTGCATTTGGAGAACGGCAGCAATTTCCAAATTTAGATGTTAATAATATCATTCTACTCCAGGAGCATTTGGAATTAATTTCCCCAAAATGTTCTGCCCCAGTACCTAGTGTCCTATACAGGCCAGGTGGGGCTTTTAACTCGTCCCTCCTACAGGAAATATGGATAGCTGTGGATATATGGAGCCATGGCTAGTAAACTTAGTCAAATATGAGGACTTATTGGGACTCTAATGTAACTTTAAAAGCTCATGGATTGTCTTACCGCTTTATTTCTAAGATTTTGGGAATTCAACTTAAATGTTTCTTCTTGTGTTCTGTCAACCTATGGCTTTCCACTGTGACTGTCTGCGTTCTTATCTCTCCATTTTTCCACCAGGCAGAAGAGGTGGCTTTCAGGCCATCCTATACTCACTCTGCCACCTGTGTTCTGAATTGTCTTTTGGATTTATCTTAAACCTAGAGTGAAGACACCCCCGTTTACCGGGTTAGTTTCAGTTTATACCTGTTTTAGAATAATTATTAATGGAGCTACCTTCCACTATCAGTAGCTTGATTGGACAATAAATTAGTTGGTCATCCTAATCGAACCACAGTGATATCCCAGTTTAAAATCTTAAAATTCTTTCTACTGTCTCCTTCCCATCTACATATAAACACACTTTACTGTCTCTCAATCCATACCCCTGTCAATTACTAAATCCATCCCATTTTATCAAATCTTCAAGACCAAGTAATCTGGACTCACTATCTCCAAGTCTCAGTCACTCTTCATAATTATGACTTCTGCACCAGTTACTCACAAAAAGTACCCTTGCCATGGTCACCAGTGACCTAATTGCCCAATCCAAAATCACACTTAAGAATTTAATCTCTGCTACATCTGACCCTGTTTATTACTCCTACCTTCAAAATATCACAAGGTTTTGTGGTACCTTTCTTCCTGACACAGATACAATATTCTCCATGATTCTTCTCAATTTGCTTTTTTGGGTCCTATTCTTCTGTTTGTAATTCTTCCCAATGAATTATTTCTTACACTTTCTTCTCATAACTTCATAGATCTTCGTTAAGCCAGTTCTTTAGAGTGTACCATAAATAGTAAGACATCATCCACGCACCCAGAAAAGAACAGAATATCAGCTGAAAGGTAGCAGAACACGCCACCCAAAAATATTCCACTTTGGCATAAGGATTATTTTGAGCTAAAGGTAATTGAAAAACAGCAGATGCAAGAATGGGGCTCTGACTTCTCTTTTTCTGTCTTTTTTTTTTTTGTGAGGAAGATCAGCCTTGAGCTAACATCCTGCTGAAGCCTGTTTTTTTTGCTGAGGAAGGCCGGCTCTGAGCTAACATCTATTGCCAATCCTCCTCCTTCCCCGCCCCCCCAAGCCCCAGTAGATAGTTGTGTGTCATAGTTGCACATCCTTCTAGTTGCTGTATGTGGGACGCGGCCTCAGCATGGCTGGAGAAGCAGTGCATCGGTGCGCGCCCGGGATCCGAACCCTGGGCTGCCAGTAGCGGAGCGTGCACGCTTAACCGCTAAGCCACGGGGCCGGCCCCTCTTTTTCTTTCTGAAAGCAGATAGTTATCCCATGTAAAAGAGATATAAATCCCTTTTCTATACTAGGAATAAAGGAACATTCTTACCACCAGACATGAGGAGTCAAGGCTGAGAGAAATCTGTACAAACAGACCTCGTTAAAATAAGTTACTTTCCTTTAGTCTTGCCATATATTTTAATTATTTCACAATTACTACTCGTTGTTCATCCTAGTGTATATGCACTTGGGCCTAACCACTTTGTTGGTCTTCCTGTTCCTGTGAAGACTCCTATGTAAAACTATTAAATATAATTTGTATGCTTTTCTCCTATTAATCTGTTTCGTGTCAACTTAATTCTTAGGCCTAGCCAGAGACTCTGAAACGGTAGAGTAAAATTTTGCCTCTCTTACACAGCCTTGCAATCCTATTATCAATTCCCTAGAGTGACCACAGATTCCTGACAGTTCTCTACCTTCATTCTTCCCACCCTACAATCACTCCATCCCACTGCAATCAGAGATCTGAGTGACTTGCAAATTTCATCATCCCATCTAGGCAAAAATAAAATAAAAAACCTTCAGTGGTTCTCCTAATATCTGCAGAATAAAACCCCAATTCCTGTGCTTTTCTGACATCTGCCCACCTGCAAAAGCTCATCTCCAAGCCCCTCTCCCCAGCCGCCACTGATTTCCACAGCTGAATGTACTGAACAACTTGTCATACTGGGAAGGTTCTTGTCAACAGTATCTTTTTTTTTTTTTTTTTTTTGTGAGGAGATCAGCCCTGTGCTAACATCC